CATTAAAAAAAAAAAAAAAAGAAATCTCAGCCTCCTCACATCCAAGGAGCTTTCTGGCTGGACCTCTTCCTGGACCGATGACTTTGTTTGTCTTTGTGTCCTTCCACATTCTTCACCAGCACCGTGACTCGGGTGCCTCGGTCTTCCATTGAGTGGAATGGACTTGAGGACAGCGAGTTGAGTCTTCACCAGAGTATGCTAACAACTACACCCTGCCATTGCATTGACGCGGACTCCTTGTGACCCTGTGGGATAGAATGGAACTGCCTCGCTTGAGTTTCGGAGACTGTAACTCTTTAAGGGAATAGAAAGTCTTGCCTATCTCCCAAGGAGTGGCTGGTGGTTTCCAACTGCCGACCTTGCAGTTAGCAGCCCGATTTGTAACCACTAGTCACCAGAGTTGCTCTTCACAGGAGCATAGAGTAAAAAATCGTACCTCAAAAGGAAAGTAGGGAGAAGGGTTGGGGGGAGGATGGGAGGAAGGGGGAACCGATGGTAATGATCAGACACACAATCACACACCCCCCTCCAGGAGGAAGAACAACAGAAACCATGGGGGAAGAGAGACAGTGGTCGGTGTGAGATATGAAAATAATAATAATTTATAATCTATCAAGTAGGTGGGGAGGGAGGGGGGAAAAAGCTGATACCAAAGGCTCAATAGAAAGTAATTGTCTAGAAAAGAATGATGGCAACATATGTATAAATATGCCTGATACAATTGATGTATGGATTGTAATGAGTTGTAGAAGCCCCGAATAAAATGATCTTTTAATTTTAAAAAATTTATTTTTAAAGACCCTGGTGGAGATCAACTAAAACAATGCATCAAACCGATCACAAAGGGGGAAGAACAACAGAAACCATGGGGGGAGACAGTGGGCGGTGTGAGAGATGAAAATAATAACAACGTACAGTTTATCAGGGGGTATGAGGGAGGGGGGAGGGAGAGGGGGAAAGAGCTGATATCAAGGGCTCAGTAGAAAGTAAATGTCTAGAAAAGAACGAGGGCAACATATGTACAAATATGCCTGATTTAATTGATGTATGGATTGTGATAAGAGTTGCATGAGCCTCCAATAAAATGATTTTTAAAAAATCCAGCTTTCACACCTGTGTGGAGGACTAAATAAATAGCATTTGGCAAGTTAAAAAGCAATGCATCTAACTGCCTAGCAGCGTGCCTAGTTACTGTGCGGAGCCCAAAGCTTCATAAATGTCAGGGGCGATCGATGCCTTCACTTCTCAAAGCCTGGTTTTCCATCCAGCGGAGGAGGGGAGCAGGGTTAGGGTCCACCGTGAGGCAAGGGAGGGAGGGGTGGGGAGCCCCTGGGTTCATGACAAGGGCTGAGCAGAGTTGACATTTTGATCCAGGAGGCCCAGAGTCCTGCGGCAATCTTGCCCGAGACCCTAAGGCTGGGCTGTGCCCGAACTTCTAAGGCCTTAGGCTGGCTGGGATGGTTCCGACAGGGCCGCGGGGGTCCTGGGCTTCCAGTGGACCGACTCCGACTCGGGAGGGCCTCCACCCTGGGGTCGGGGTCACATGCAGGGTCACGCGCAGTTCGCTGGGCCGCTGGGCGGCGGGCGGGGAGAGGCTCCGCCTGGGCGGCGGGACACGAGCCCTTTGTCCGCGGCCAGAGGCCCAGCTGCAGGTGGGGCCCCGGCAGCCCGGGGCGCGGGGCTGCGCGCGCGCCCAGTCTGCCTGCCAGCCTGCCTCCGGCCAGGCGC